GCCATAGGATGTGGCCCTGTCAGCTCTGGTACAGATTGTTAGAAACATTCTGGCATTATTCTTTCTTTCTATCTTTTAATGAGAAAATACCACTTATTTTTAACAGCTCAGGAAATACTTGGAGAGAAAAAAAAACATGTTGTATCAAAATGCCTGAAATTTTCTGCTTCCTTCCTTTAAGGAATGAAATGGTTGCTTCCTCATATTAAAATAATGGATTTTATGATTTTAAAAATGCTAACAGAAATTTGAAGTTACAATTAATATTTCCCATGTGTACAATATTAAATTTAAGTTATGAAAACATTTGTTGAGCTAATTGGAAAGCTTTGCAGTTTGACTCAAGTGGAATGGAAAAAATAAAAATGCAGGGAGGGCGCTGCCTCCTTTGCACTGAGCATCCTGACGAGCTCACTGAGTGCCAACAGCCTGAACGGGCCAAAAGCCATCCTCCCCTGGAAGGTAAGGGCTGCATCACTCAAGGCAAAGAAATCATCCTAGTGATTATGATAAAGCCGTTTGGCGTAGATTGCAGTGATGCCAGCAAACAAGTCGCTGCTCTAATCGAGGGCAGCGTTCTCATCACTTAGAAAGGCAGCAAAGCACCCTGCAGGCAGACTGTGACAGTTCCCAGCTAGCAGGTCTGATCAGATTGTCTGCATCCTCAGAGCACTGTTATCCCAGCTCCTCAGCGTGCTCTGCCCAGGCTGGCTATAGTTGGGTTGGCTCCACAAATCCCCAGAGGTGACCTGTGAAAAACAGACCGTGGAGGAGAAACTCCCCAAGAGCAGAATAACCAGCTCTGCTCTGTGGATATCGGCAGGGAAGGCATGACCACTCAAAGTGCACTGCAAGATGTTCAGCTGAAGCACAGTGAAACAAACCCTTTTACTTGCTGACCCAATCATCTGTGGTCCCAAGCACATGCTTCATTTTTCCGCAGCTCCTTCTGGGCCAGGAACTTGTCTCAGCGATGATTTCCACCTCCCAGCAACAGGCAACCAGCAGAGTCCTGCACATCAGGCTGGACCTCAGTTTCATCAAGGCTTGCCACCAGCTGCTCCCAGCCGGCCACCTCACAGGCAGCAATTCAGCACAGAAGGACTTATTTTCCCTTTCTCGCCATCATGGCCCATTTTGGTCATGGATCTGTTATGACACAGATGCTTCACAGCCACACCTATCAGTCCCAAGCATGGTCTCAGCATGAAGGGAGTCCGTAATGTGTATGCTGAGTGCTGGAGCATGTGGAGGGGAAAGTGCCAAGCTGCTGTGCTGCATCTGAGCCTGATGTGAGGAAACTTGCAGGGAAAGTGATGGTGAGAGTACCAGTGAGGAATCTCACCGGGGAATCTCACTGCCACAGCTCATCTATTCTCACATCTGGGAGCAAAGCTCTTGCAGTGGCAGCACCCAGCAGCTGGAAGTGATTTACCATCCAATGGACTTTGATTCCTGACATTGCCTGTCGACCGTGTGAAGTACAGGACTGGAAGAAGGGGGAAAGAAATTGCAAGATCTGCATGCATGCCATCAACAAAAGGCAAAGCACAGCACTCCAAACTATAGAACGTCCATATTCATGTGGCATCCTGTTGTGCTTGTTCATTGCAGGTTACCTGCAGCATTAAATCAGACCTCTCTGTGTCCACTAGAGCTAATGGTCTGCCTGTGTGCAACCAGTGGAGCCAGCAAAAGAAATGGAGCATGCTCAGCATCCCCGGTTCTGAAATATTTCAGAACAGAAAATAATCCTGCTGGAAGACTCCTACTAATGCAAAAGCCTATTCAAAGAGCACTCCTGACTAGGAACATCCTCTATTCAAATATTTTATTAAAAGTGGCCTGAAGAGAAAGAATATTCATTTTTTAATTCTCATTGCAGCAGCTCTGAATTAAGCAGTGGTCGTGGTGCGTTCAGGGCATCAAAGCAGAAAATCAGACAAAGGGCCCAGATGCAGAATTTCCTGCCATAACCTAAACCAAATGCCACTGAACGCAGCTTCCCCCAAGGTCTCCCTGCAACACTGCTGCTCACAGCCGAGCTGGTGGCCAGCATCCAGGCAGAGCATTAGTAAAACTAACAGACCAAACTGTTCCCACACTAAGTCCCTTGCTCTTGAGCTAACTTATTTAACTGCTGAGCATCTGAAAGGCATGTTTCATCTACTGTTGCAACAAGCAGTGAGTGGGTATCCATGACAAAATCCAAGGGCACTGCCCTGCAGCCACGAAGCCTTGGCTGAGCAGCAGCAGAAACTGGGAAAGGTCAGAGTTCCACAGTAGCACTGCTCCTTTCTAAAAATAAAGCCCATCAGTTTCTTAAGAAACGAGGGACATTCTTTAATAGCTTTCAGATCAGATGTGTGCTATCTCAGCACACTTCTCCCAAACAAAGGAGAAATGTACGTGAGGACAGTACCACTGAGCCTCACTGGCAGCTGTTTTGTCCATCCCTGCAAGAGAGGGACAGGAGCAGGGCAGGCTTAACAGCAAGCAGGGCACGGGGCTAGCTTTCTCCCTGCAATGAGTTTGCTATCTGCTTTTCTTTGATCCTGCTCTTGTGCTGTCAGGCACACAGCTCCCTCTGCCACCATTTGTTTTTGTTCCTTTAGTCAGGGACGTTTCTATGGTTCTGTACCTGTTTGATCTTACAGTGCCTTTGCTAAAGCTCCCAACAGACTCCGTGCACGTGGTCTGGTGACCTGCAGCTGCTCTGTGTTGGCTGTGGGATATGCTGCTGCTGGAGCCCACTGGGAGGAGCCTTTGTGTATCAGTTCTGCGTCAGCCTTAAGGAGTAGATGAACGTGAGTAGAAGTATATTAATGTAAGTAAGAAATCAGTGAGTTTTCTTAACTATGTTATCACGAAATTAATCTTCCCAGTGTGTATTAGGATAGGATGCTCTGGATGTGCCATACAATTCACATAAATCAGGAGTACGGACAGTTGCACACTGCTGCCAGATAGGACTTTTATTGCCTCTGTGTTGGGTGACCGGTGTACTTTTAGTTCTTAATAACTGCACAGAGCTTCATAGAGCTGTGCAATAACACGTATCAGATCTGCATTGCTGCTTCTGTGACTTTTTGCTTGCAGTCATCTCTCAGCTTTGTGCTGAGCGTTGCCCAGTGTTCCCAAAGCAGCTCTGTAGTCGGAGATACATCCCATGTCTGCAGGAGTTGACCGAAGAAGCTCAAAACACGCTCTTCTCAGGTATTCCTCTTATCATAATAAAAGCATGGGAAAATCAGCTCCTGCAGCTTTGATCTGCTGGCTGAATCAAATCGCTTGGTGTTAGGGGGAGGCCAGCTCCCCCCGAAATTAAAGTAATTATATGTATCTCTATAATATATACATAGACACTTATTTTTTCTATTATAGATATATAAGCTCTTGTAAAGCTACTCTTACTCACTTTCTTTCTCTTTTCCTTTCCACTGTGTTTGGGTAACATCTCAGGCTGTGTTTGTAATAGCTGCATCATGAGACAGGAGATTTCATTTCCCGTCCTGCTTGCAGGCTGTGGCACAGCAAATGTGTGCTCCCCCACCCCACAGTGCCAGTGGTACCGTGGGATTCAGAGCGAGGATTGAATCCTCATTTCTTTCTTCTCTTCTGACTGCAGAGAGCTCCCATTGCTGTCTCCACGAAAGAAGAGGAATTGGGTCTCATCCTGAGAGAGAGGTGGGGTGCAGTGAGGCAGAAAAGAGAACAGTGTGTGTGATGGTTTTTGTTCTGATGGGTTTGAGTGTCAAGAGCTGAGATGTTTGTGGTGGCTTTCAAGGACTCCAGGAGCCTTGCCTTCCTTGGGGCAGGAGTCCATGTGCATGGTTTGAATCTCTGCCGCCACGTGGAGCAGAGTGAGGGCTGTTAAGGGCTGGTGATTGAATGCCAACTAGGTTGTTACTCACCGAGGGTGGCCCAGAGGGCAGTTTGTGGGGGAAGTCATGCAGGCATAGGGCAACGATGCAGTGTCACAGAGGTGCGGCTCCCGCTGCGTTCTGACCCCTGAGATGTGCCCTGGCTGTGGGCTGTGTTGCTGGGAGCCAATGGCTGATGGTCCCTGGCTGCTCCTTGTTCAGAGGGTGCTGCTGCTGTGGGATGCTGGCTGTGCCAGCTCAGCTCCATCTGCCTCTACAGCAATCAGTGGAAATGTGTCTTAGCCTTAAGGTCTGGGGCTTTAGGAATGAAAAGCTTAACGGCTTTCCTTTCTTCTCTTACGGAGCATAGGATGTTTAGAGCTATGGAAGCAGTGCAAGAAAAAATATTAATGAATAACGATGGAGTGCAACCTTAATGCATTCCTTTCTCTTGAAATAACTGGCTTTTCTCTGTGGGCTCTGTAGAAGAAACATCTGTAGAGGCCGAGTCTGTTCAGAAGCCAAAGGATGGAGTCAGACCCTTCAATGGTTTTCTCGCTAAAATGTTACCCCTGCGTTTAGTGCCCGGCAAAACTCCTCCTTCTGCCCCACTCTAAAACCATAACGCAGGATGAGCCGAAGGCTCCGAGGCTCCGGCTGATGGAAACCGGGGCGTGGGAGCTGCGGCGGTGAAGGGGTGCGGTGCGGTGTTGTTCGGTGCGGTGCGGTGTTGTTTGGTGCGGTGCAGGAGACCCCCGCCCTCGCAGTGCAGCAGGAGGAGGCGGGCGGTGCCGGCGGCGCGCCCGAGGCGGGCTGTGTAGCGGCACTCGGCTCTCGGCCCCCGGCGCCCTTCGGCCCTCCCTCCCTTCCTCCGGGGCCGCCGCCGGTGCCCGGCGGGCGCAGGGCCGGACTACGCGCCCCGAGCGCCTCTGCGCGGCGGCGGTGCGGCGCGGGGCGGGGCCGGGCGCGGCCCTACAAAGGCGGCGGTGCGGCGCGCGGCCGATACTCACCGGCACCGGCGGGCGGGGAGGGCGGGCGGCGCCCGCGCTGACGGGACAAAGCGCGGCCATGAGCCCGCTGTAGGCCGCTGGGAGCCGCCGCCGCCTCCAGGGAGGGAGGGAGGGAGGGAGGGGGTTCTGGCCGCGGGTGGATGCCGGTTGCGGCCGGCCGCGCCCGGCACCATGCACACCGTGCAGAAGGACACTACCTTCACCAAGATCTTCGTCGGGGGGCTGCCCTACCACACCACCGACTCCTCCCTCAGGAAGTACTTCGAAGTCTTCGGGGACATCGAGGAGGCGGTGGTGATCACCGACCGGCAGACGGGCAAATCCCGGGGATACGGCTTTGTAAGTGCCGCCGCTGCGCTGCGGGCCGGGCTGCGCGCGGGCGAAGGGCGCGGTGCGGTGCGGTGCCGGTAACGCTCCGTGCGTCCCCCAGAGTCCTCGCTCTGCTGGGACTGCCGGGACCGGCCCCGCTAAGTGCCCTAACGGAGCGCCAGGAAGGCGAGGAGAGCCGCCGGCTGAGGGCAGCTCGGTGCGGGGCACGCAGCCCGTTTGGGCACGGGGCGCTCCGAGGAGCGGAGCGGAGCTGAGCGCCGGACCGAAGCGCGGCGGTAAACAAAGCGGTCCGGGCGCCCGTTGGCGGAGCGCTGCCGAGGCGCGGTCGCTACAAACGACGCGGTTGTCCTTCCAGGTAACCATGGCGGACAGAGCCGCGGCTGAGCGAGCGTGCAAAGACCCCAACCCTATCATCGATGGCAGGAAAGCAAACGTGAACCTGGCGTATCTGGGAGCAAAGCCGAGGAGTATTCAAACCGGTGAGGAGCCCGAGAGGTCCGTCCCTCTCTTGTTAGGTTGCTGCGGCACGGAAGGAGTGCTCGGGCTGATCGGCACGCTGCCTGCTCGCCCCTGGGTGCTGCTGGTGGAGGACGCGCTGTGGTCGTGTTACCTCTGTGCCGTATCCATTACTGTACCTGTTACACCAGCACAGCGCACCCAAGTTCACGTAACTGAGTTAAAGCCCTTTTCTTCTGCGGCCGATCTGTTTTCCTGCTCTCCCCTCCGTTACGTCAGCGTTAGCACCGAGATCCATTTCAGCGTTTTGCCCTGGGGTTTAATTTTACCCGCGGTGCTGGGCGGTAGATGAGGTGTTGTGCCCGTTGTCTGTGCTGATGACTGCACTCGTGCACCATTCTTTAATCTGAATCCCCATCTGCTGTGCGCTGTGCACCAAACGAATTTGCTCCTAAACGGGGCTCTAAGTTTGCTCACGCACGCAGCACACAAAATGGATGTGTGTTGGTCTGATGTTGTGTGTGCTGAGCCGCAGGGCACAGTGGGTGCCATTCGGTCATATTGTTTTCCTGAATGTTTTTTCAGGTTTTACCATAGGTGTGCAGCAGCTCCACCCAGCCTTCATCCAGAGACCCTTTGGGTAAGTGGATGTTGTTTCTTAACAGTTGGGTGGAAATCAGATTCGCAAATCAGCTTCCTCATTATTTAAAATGCGTGAAACGAGCCGGGAGAGGGGAGTTGCAACAGCTGTTGTAAATGCTGGGAGTGCTTTATTTCTGGTGGAGATTTCAGAAGTTTTGTGCATTTGTCAGCTTTTGTATAATTCCCAAAGATCCTCCTTTATCCTCAGTAAGTCTCAGTCACAGCAGACCCGGCGCGCTGCTCGCTGCTTTGCCAGCGTCAAGAATTCACGCGAATTCAGATATATGGAAAGTAGTTTCTCTGTTGCAGTACTTAAGGTGTCAAAGCAATTAAGCAAATTCTGTTCTCATGTTTCTCAAATAAGAGCTGCTTCCTCTGCGCCGTTTCCCACGTAATAATGCTTGGGGTACAGTTTTATCCTAGAAAACAAATTGCATTGGAAACAAAGTCTGTTACTTAATGAAAGTAACACTAGGTCAAAAATTGATTTTGGACAGATGTTATACAAGGCTTGAATAGTCTGCAAAAGTGGGCTTTTGTCTGCTGTTTTCAATAGCTTATACCATCCCTGCTCGGTTAGAAAAGTCCTCTTTTTATACATCTAATAGGATCTGGCAGCTGCTCGGGAAAAGACAAGTGTGCTTCACGAGAACAATAGTGACTGTCATACTGCCTTCATTTAACTGTTTAATGATTGATGCCTTTCCTTTTCTATGCTATTTCAGAAAGTGAATATTGATAAGGTTTTTTATTATTATTTTCTAAGAGCATTAAGAAAGTAGTGCATTTTGTAAGGCTTTTGAGCACCTCTCTGTTGTAGTTTTTATGTGACAAATATAAATAGATGGGATTTTGGCCTTTGTCAACAGAAATATTTCATCCCTTCCCTGTTTTCTGTTTGTAGCACTTCTTGTGCCTTTTTTGAGGGATGAGGGCGAAGAAAAAAAAAAAACGAGCTAACAACAAAATAGAAACTTTCTCTCCTCTGCCCTCACGCCTGCAGTTGCCAACTGCCTGGGTAATCTCATTCCAGTGAGTTTATGGGTGCAAGAGGCTGTGTTGCCACAATAGCGCACTCCCAGTGTACGCGTTGTGCACAGTTCAAACATGCCAGTTTTCATAAGTGGTCACAGCTCTGTTGGAAGGACTTGAAGAACATCTGTCATGAAACGAAGAGGAGTTTTTCTGTGTGTGAGAGCCACAATAGCACGGATAGAGAAGCTGTTGTTCTTCGGGAGTGTTGGGAGTTACAGCAGCTTTCGGAGCCTTGGAGGTAGGCAGCGCCTCTGAGATGTGACCACCAGAAGCTTTCCAAAATGCATGAGAGCACACAGTAGAGCTGGGTGATAAAGCCCAGCATGTTATGAGGTTTTTCATGAGCAAACAGGCGAGGTGTGCAGGCAGGAGCTGACCCTTGCCTATTCCCCATGCAGACGATCTGCTGTTCCTTCGTGTGCCTCCCAGCAGCCACAGCTCTGCGGCTGTGGAAAACGTGGTTTTTCTTTTTGAGCAGTTCACTTCTGAGCTTCAAATCCAGAAAAATGTGGGATCGAGTGAGTAGGTGTTCCCTGTGATCTAGGCGGCTCCTGTTCCAGTTCTTGGTTTCATCATTAAGCCAGCAGAGCTGCACTTGGTGCATGCAGCAGAGAGCACTATAAATTATTTATCAGTTGCCAAGAGACAGGAACCAGGAGACCAGAGGGGTGGAAGGAGAGAGGATTATATATCGTTATTTGCAAGCATCGGTAAACATGAATTTCGTTGCATTCAGTCACCACTGGAGCAGAATGGCTAGAAATGTGGGTTTGGCAGAACGTGGAGCCATTTACCTGAGCACCACGGCTGGGGCTGTTCTGTGACTTCTGAGCACAGCATCAGGTGCTCAGTCAAGCAGTGGGGCTTGGCTGCCAGTTTTCCCTTTGTGTTGTCATTAGATCAGCAGAAACAAGAGCCTGCCAGGCTCTGCTCTCGTATTCCCTTGAACTCACGATGTTCTTTGTCCTCTGTGGGATCTGAGGATGGATGAGGAGTTTATCGGGGTCTGGCAGTCTTTGGAAGTGCGGCCAACTTGCTGTTGCTCATTTGCTGTCCACATTGTAGAGCGAATCCTGGTCTTCCCCAAACAGAACTCTCTATTTTCTCTGCTTTGCTGCACACAAGGTGTTGCAGGGTTCTCCCTCCTGTACCTTCTGTCTCTGCAGAATGTTTGCATCCAGGGATTGCCATAGAGTTTCCAAGTGACGATTGTTTATGGGACGTGGGGTATTATGTGTGCAAGCTGGATGTGGCAAGGAAGAAATGAATGAACAGCTCATGATCTATGAGGCAGTTAGATAGGAGAAAACAAGCCACAAAATGCAGGTTTTTTGGTAAAACGTGAATGGAAACTATGATGAAAGTTACCCAAACATTAGTAAAGATTATTTATAAACCGAAGGCTTCCCCACAGCCCCAGGGACCCAAATGCAGCTGTAAATATTGCCCAGGGTATGCGGAACAGAAAGAGAAACCATGAGGAGCCTCTCTCCTTCCTCCTGCTGTCCTGGCAGGGGAGGCACACAGCAGACAGCACGGAGTCGGTAGTAAATCCTGTTTTGAAAGTAGGCTCTGGGCTGTCGTAACTGGAGATCTTAACAGTAATGTGAGGTGAGGGATGTGGTTGTGTCAGGGTGACTTGGAGATCTGGCTTCTGGGGTTAGGGAAGCAGCCCTGGGGGCTCAGTCTGTGGCTTATAGGTTGCACTTGGCTTGGGGGCAGGTGGGAGTGCCCCAGCGTTTGCCTGCGGTTACCAGCTGGCATGGAGCTGTGTTTATGTGACCAGAGGATGGGAAGACTCTGTAGATGGACTTATGTCTTACTGCTGAAATGTCCCTATAAAGAAATTTTGAGAAATATCTGAAGCATCTTTGGAAGCTGCTAAGAGTACCTGCATAGGCTGCTTGGCCAGGAGCATTGGTGATGTGGCAGAGCTGCCTTGTGCTCCCATTGTGGTCCTCTTCTCTGGGACTCCTCCTCAGGGGAGGTTCAGGTTGGATATTAGAAAAGATTTCTTCTCACAGCAGTCAGGCACTGGCACAGGCTGCCCAGGGAAGTGGTGGAGTTGCCACCCCTGAGGTTTTCAAGGTGCATGTAGATGTGACACTGAGGGACGTGCTTCGGTGGAGGAGGCTCGGCGGTTGGACTGGGTAATCTTGATGTCTTTCCTAGCCATAATGATTCTGTGGCCCCACTCACTGCCCCAGGCTGGCTTGAGCCCTGCAGGGAGGGGGATTCCCTGGTTCTCCTCTTCCCAGCTGTGCTCTCAGCTCTGTATGCAGGCGGTGCATGGCAGCTGCATTCCTGTGGCTGTGTCTCAGCAAATGGGCTATCTGTGTGGGAGATCTACCAGTGGCTGAGTAAGTGACTGAGCTCTTGGAAACTTACAGCTGTCTCTTGCAGTATCCAGCTCTTTCCATATCTGCACATGAGATGTTGCTCCAGAGACTTCATCTCCCATCCTTCAGCAGTTGCTTATTTTGCTGGCCTGTGGTCCTGGGCAACACTGGAAATGGTGAAATCTCTGTGATTTTGACATTTCATGCATTGGTCTTGCTGCAGTGGGAAGTGAAGTGAAGGAGGTCCCTATCTGTGTCAGCCCACCTCCCTTGCAGCTGCTTATCCTTAAAACTTCTCTACTGAGTTCAAATTAAGAAGAAACAAACTTTCAGTGGCCAGAGGCACAGGCTGCCCTTGCTCTGTTCAGGCTGACAGCTGGCACCCCCGGCTCTGACTTTCATTGCACCACGTCCCAAAGCTGGCTTGCTGTGGGACCCCCGGCTGCTCTGCTGCTCCTGTGGGGCAGGCTCATCAGCACCTGTTGTGTGTCGCGTGCCAATAACATGAAAGCTTTGGGGGTGGGTGATTTCCTAAGAAACACTCAAATTTGTTTTCCAAATGGCTTCAGCTGCTAGTTCTCAGGCATGCTTGCTGCTATTCAGACCAAAAGATTCCCAGTCAGAAAGAACTCTTTATTTTTTTTTTTTTTGCTGTTTTTAAGAATAGACTTGTAGTTATAAATGGATCTGATGGCTTTGCAAACTAGGACGTCTACTTCAGGATGGCAAATGTTGGTACTGGGGCCAACGCCTTGGTGCTGTTGTTTTGGACGCAGTATTCTCATGTTCTGCATCTTTATAGAAGACACGAAGAGAGAACAGCCTGATATACTGACTGTATGTGTGGCTGTACAGCTGGGGTGCTGAGCTCAGGACAGCACTGGACCTTTCCTAGGGACCAAGCTGTTGATTCAGGCTTCACTGTGCTGTTCTGATGTATGTGAGGGAGAGCAGGGCTGAGCTGGCCCTGCCTTAGTCTCATTAAGATGTGGCTCAAGCTGTGCCCTCTCCTCTGCGTGGCTCTGTTGGTGGATTTACTGTTCTCCATCCCAAAGCAGTAGCAGCAGTGAACCAAGTCCTTTCTCCTGGCTGCAGGGAGCTAAGGAGCAGCAGCTGTAAGCCTGTCCTCTTCTGATCCATTGCCACTTTAATCCCAGGGCATCGGATTTGTGCACGTGCCTGAATTTTGAGAGCAGCCCAGCCTGTTCCTGATCTCGTCTTTCTTGAGCGCAGCTGCTGGCCGCTGGTCCCTCTGTGCTATTAAACACATGCCCAGTAATTCGAATGAGAAATGCAGCTCTGACCAGCCTGCTTCTGAGCTGGGGACAGCATGAGGGAACAGTTGTGCTGATAATTTGGTAGCAAGGACACTGGGTCACTTCTAAATACGACTTCTATAAAGAACTTCTTCCCCACAGATGGAGCAGGCTGCATACAAGAGCTAAATATACTTTATGATCACAAAAGATGAAAAGTCTTGGACCTCAGAGTGAAAATTTACTCTCCTGTTTCTTAATTTCTTGATCCCGTAAGCAGGATTGCACTGACCCTGATTCCCTGTGTGTGTCAGCTGCCCTGTGCCCTAGCTGGGGGCAGTCACTGAAGGCACAGCTGGCAGGAGACACCCCAGAAACACTTGAAATCAAATTTCTTTCTTGTCTGAGCAACTGCTTGTTTTATCCATTACCTATTTCTGATAAAAGAAAACCTATTACTTCACTGCTTCTTCTGTAGGTAAAGCACTTTGCTTCAAAATACTTTGTATATCCAGGAAAGAACTTTGATAAGCATGAAGATTTTAATTAAAAATCAGTGGAAAGAATCATACAAAAAGAAGCCTGCTAGAAATAGTCAGTTAAATGTAGGCAGCTTAATATATATATTATTATCAAGCTTGCCAGGTACTGGAGAAGACTTTAAAGATGTTTCTGTAGCTTTTGCACCTTCCCAAAATGCAGAGGAACATGGGAAAGCTCAGTTGAAAGTGGAATTTCTGGGGCTTCCTGGGCGTTAATCTCTCAGAGCCATTAGTTTTCCTCCTATGTGGACACAATGAACGTAGCATCCTACTGACTTTCTCTCCTTGATGCTGAAGGCACCTGCAGATGACTGAGGTGAAGAGTTTTCTGCTGCTCCAGTCAGTCTGTCTGTTTGGGCTGTGCTGATAACTGGATCGCTGACTGGCTGTGGATAAACTTCCATGTGGCTTTTTCCCTGGTGCCAGATGGCTCTTGTTTCAGGTCGATTTTATTTCCACCTCTTCTACCTGAGTGGTTTCCAGCCTGCTTTTCCAAATCTGTTTTTGGTTTGTCCCACTATACTTTTCTTTGGAATTACTACTGATTTTTCTTTTTCCCATGGGTGTGTGGGAGATGAGATGCAGAGGATAAAGCTGTGAATTGTTGAGCCTGGTTAACTGGTGGTGGAGCTCAGGATGTTACTCTCAGGCTCTTGGTTAAGAAAAAGGATTAGATCGTTGTAGGAGATGCGTTCTCGTCTTCGATAGGCATCCTCTTTCTGTTTACTTTTTTGTTTTTTCTTTTCCACACCTCTGCACTGGCTGTGCTTCCTGATGAAGGCGTGGATGGCATTTATTTTTATTTCTTTCTGTGGGATCCACCTTCATTAGTTTGCATCCCAAAGTCAAGATTAGCTAAGGCTGTAAAATGATGGCATCGCTGGGCTGTGTTGGGTTCTCAGCTGCTGCAGTGCTCCCTGTTCCCTATGGTGTTTTTTTTCCTGACAAAATGAAGTTAGTTTGAAATCATGAATGTTCATAATAATCATGAATAGTTGGCATTTGTATTTCTTAAGCAGTGGTTCTGGGGTGCTCAGCTATCAGTAGGGGTTATCACTGAATCCTGCAGTATGCTCACTTTCTGCTCTGTACTGATTCCTGCCTGGGACAGTGTTGCAGCAGGCTGCTCCTCGGCCATTGCCACCAGCACATTGTGGCAACCAAGCAGGAAACCCAGTATGTACCTGTTTCCAAAGGACTAGAGCAGGAAGAGCAGAAGACAGACAGGCAAATCAGTTACAAGATGAGCAGAATTTTTTTCTTTTTACCTTTTTTGGTGCTGATTTGTGTTTGTGTCACAGTACAGTAGGCAAGGGTACATACACAGCCTCAGTGGCTCGCCCTTGTCTGTTTGGAATCTGGCTGATGAGGCAGAAACCATTGACATTTCAATGCACGCTTTAATAGGGACATTTCAGGAATCAGAAGTCTGTCATGCCAGTGGTTGAAGCCCAGCCCAAGTCAGTAAATGCTGATGAACTGCACAGTGGTCAGTGCAGAATCAGTGTCCCAATCTGCATCAAACTGTTCTGCGTTGTGTTTGGATTTGAGAACAGGACTTGAATTTGTTGCATTTCTGCAGCCTGGCACTGTGGCTGTAGGCATTGCCCAGACACCAGTGTTTCACCCAGGGTTAAAGAGCCCAGGCAGCTCCTTGTGTGATGTGTGCTGTCCTTGTCCTTCAGGAACGTTGCTCCTGGGGCATTGGCCATGGCAGGATGTGTCTGTACCTCACTTACCACAGTGGTGCTGCACCACTTCAGCCAGGGGTTTTCTCAGAGCAGCTTTGGTCTGATGCACTTAGACTCACAAATTCTCTTCAAAACCTCTCTTCAAACCGATCACCCAGGCTATGGTTGGACATGTTACTTCTGTGCAGGCAGTTTTTACGTTGCTGTGGTACCTACCAGCTGGAGCCCAGCATCCCATGATATCACTGCTGGTGCTGTGTACCCAGAGGGCTCAAACACATCCGTCTGTCCTGGCATCACGTGTTGGGGCAGTGTGGGTGTCTCTGTAGCAGCTGACGGGTCAACGCTGGTGGAAATGGAGGCCAAATTCCTGGGGAAATGCTGCCGTTTGTGCCTGCAGTGGCAGACACAAAGGGCTCTGTTTCTTTTATTCTTCAAGGACTAAATGGCTGGCCATGGCAGTGGCATTTGTGTGCTGATCTGTGAGGCTGCCAAGAGCCCCGTGCCCCTTCTTGTTTACTAAGTGTCTGTGTGATGCTGTGTCCCTCCTGACAGAGGACTGCACTTGTCTCCCACCTTGGCAAAGGCAGCTCTTGTGTGGCTGGCGGAGCTCGAAGGGGCCAGGAGCTCCAGCTTTCTCAGACCAGCACACTTTGCAGGGGTCTGAGTGATTCTTGCTGGGCCTTCACCCCCATTGCCACCAATGGCATCAGCATCTGCTGCATCTGCTGGTGGGAGCAACGGGGGGTGGTGGCAATTGCTGCTCACCTGGGTGATGTTTCCTACTTGTGCTGTGCATTCTGGATGAAGTTCCCTTCTGGCTTGCAGGGCCTGTTGTGGAGGTGAGGAAAGCTGCAGGGAGGAAGGGGAGGCATGTGAACACATCTCATTCTGGAAGATGTTCAGGTTACAGTTTGCTGGTCTGTAGAAAAATACAGCACTCCAAAGGAGGGGGTTTTTTTTGTTTCTTTTTTTTTTTTTTTAAGATTTTTCAAATATAACAAAGGAGGGAAAGGTGTTTCAAGACCTTCTAGAGATGCTAAATGTAGCCAGCAGTTAACTTCGTCTGCTGTACTGGTTTTGTTGTCTTTGTAACTGCAAGTAATCCAAGTGACCTTATCTTGGGTTGACAAATGACTCTCCATCTATATGCTAATTCAGAAGCCCAAACTCCGTAATATCTGTAGTGAATCTCCTATAACTAAATGCTAGAAACCCACAGACCAGAAGAGCCTTCCCTTCACACAGAACGTGATGCTGGAGTTTTTTCAGTGCAGTAAACTGATGTGTGATGCGTGCCTGTGTATGCGCTGAGCTGGGATTTATTTCTGGAAGCAGGGTACAAGAATACTCCTTGTCTTGTTAGCTAATGGTGCTTTTTATTCGAAGAGGCACTGAAGAGATGGAAACTTTCCTTGCTGAGGAAGTAGCAGTCTAGGATGTTGCAGGCTCGCTGTCTCTTTGGAGCATGCTTCAAGAGGAGCCATGTGCTTAGAGACAGCCCCTGGAGCATGCACTCACATGGGGTGTAGCTTTGATGGATTTCCCAGAGGCTGTCAGCCCAGCCGGGTCATTCCACAGGCAAGGCTCGATGGCCCAAGGAAGAGGCCATCTGCTGCAATCCGATGCGAGCACGGGACATTGAGCCTGAGGTCTGAGCTCTGGTGGGAGCTTCTGACTGAGCCATGCTGGTCTTAATTTGGATCACAACTGCAACAAAAATGATTCAGTGAACGTCTGTCACCTCATTTCATTCTTGTTAGTCACTGGCTGATACTGGGTACTGTGTATTTCTGGACTGAAAGGCTCCCTGTGAGCTCTGGAGGTGGCCATTGCATTTAATCAGCCACGCATGGGGGTGCTGCTCCCCGCCATGCATCCTGCCCCATGCCTGTGCTGCCACCTCCTTTCATCTGAGGAGGGAGAGTTGTTGAGAGGAGGAAGGATAGCAATCATTCTCTCATAGTGCAAATTGCCTACAGAAAAAAACAGTGTGCGAGTGGCAAAACAAGAGAAAGATCAGATAACGTGTGTGCTTGTTTGGGGAAAGCCTTTCTCCTGCCTGAAGAGCGGGTGAAAGCATCCAGTGCTGGCTGGAGAGCAAATGGGAACAGCCCCATAGCTGCTGGCAGGGGCAGCCCCAGGGCACTGAAGGCACTGCTGAGGCCCTGGGCAGTGCTCAGATGGGGTGAGGGAGTGAGAGGCCCTGCAGAAGCTTCCAGGCCACGGCTGGGGCAGCGCACGGGGTTCTGCTGCCCTATTTCTGACAGGGATCAAATGGGAGAGTGGGTCCCTGAGCAGCTGAGCTCCGCTTCGCAAAGTGCTTCAGGCATGCAGCAGCCTGCAGTGTGTGAAAAGCCTGTGGGAGGCTTTTAAAAGTGGTCGCGTTTGAAAATGCACTGTCACACATCCACACAACAGTCCCCCAAATGCTTGAATCTGCATAAGCGTGGTGCAGTTATACCTTGGTTTTTGTTTGCCAAAGCAAGTGGGATTTGGGGGTGGGGATGAGGAGCTGTCTGTGGGTCACTGCTGCCACTCAGTGCAGCACGGCAGTCCGATGGAGAGCCTTTGCACATGGATGGCACCTCTTGGGGCACGGGGCACTGCTTTTTGGTTGTAACGTGCTGTCAGCTACTATTTTGGCAGCCCCAAATCTTCTCATGGGCATTTCCTTCTGTTTTTATGTATTTATTCATTTATTTATTAGTTGCTTATTAGCATTTCCTAACAAACGAGTAGGCAGTCCTGCATTAAGCATCCCCAGGATGGCTCGGTCTGTGCACAGCTCGGTTCCTGCCAGCAGCAACTCAAGGTACAGACCGGTGATCCTGGAGTGCTGCTCTGACCCAACGGCCACCAAAGAGCATGACGGGGGGGAAGAAAACCAGAAAGAATATCTCGTGTTTTACAACAAACACATTGTAGCGTTGCCCTAAACATCCCATGTTATGGAAACACCAGCCTAAATGTGTGCTAACTGATAACAGTGAGGAAGGCCTGGGGAACAGCCCATGGGGCACGGGGAGGGAGCGTGGAGGTGACGGGCAGGGACACGCGGGCCGGACCCCTCACTCACCCCTCTCCCTTTGCTCCCACAGACTCACGCCTCACTATGTTTACCCCCAAGCTATCATTCAGCCCAGCGTGGTGATCCCCACCCCCGTGCAGTCCATCGCATCTCCCTACATCGACTACACCGCCGCCAGCCAAGCCTACTCCCAGTACACCACAGCTGCCTACGACCAGTACCCCTACGCTGCCTCTCCCGCCGCGGGCTTTGTGGGTTATGGCTACACGGGGGCTGTGCAGCCCCCCATCACCGCCAGCACCCCGGCAGCGCCCGCCACCGCCTTTGTGCAGTACCAGCCCCAGCAGCTGCAGCCCGACCGCATGCAGTGAGCCCGCCTTGCTGGGACAAGTCCTTTGCAATGGAAGGAGACAATTAGGACAACAAAAGCAACGGCAAAAGAGAAAAAGAAAAAAAAACAAGAAGAAAAAAACCCCACAAAACAGAACCAAGATGCAAAAAACAAAAACAAAAACAAAAAAAACAAAAACAAAAAAAATCCCAAAACAAACATAAAAAAAAACAAGGAAAAAAAGAAGTCGCCCTGACCTGTCTCCCATTTATTTAGGTGCATATCAATACCTAAGCTATTTCTAGTGTTACGGGCAAACCCAAAGCCTCGCAGTCTGACTGTGCTCACGAAGAAGGACTTCGGGTAAGTTGTTTTTCAATCTGGACAGATCGCGTCTTGAAGATGTTCTTGAAGTGACTGAAATGATTCACAGGAAAACTGCAGCTCCTCGCACATGTCGCAGGCTGCTTCCATCACCTGTGGGCTTCTTTCTGCCCCCCCCAGCCCTCCTCATCGAACCTGCAATTTTCTTATTTACTGTTGAGGTACAGAGGTACTCGGAGAACGTGGAGAAAAGCAATCTTATTTTTTGGTTGTACAAAAACTTTGTAATACTCAGAGATGCCTTACAGAGAAAAAAAAAAAAAAAAAAAGAAAAACTATTTTTTAATATTTATTGCGATTTTATTCGCATGAGCTGTGAATTGCAGACAGAAGAATAGTAGTAAGTATCTGCCTTGTTTAATTCTCATTTTACTAAATTATTGTACGTAGTTAAAAGTTCCTAAGTAATTGCTGAATCACTTCAACTTGCAAGAGGGAATATCAGCTCGAGGGAGGGCCGAATATTCCTTTAGTCAACGCACTGTACTATTTTCTTATTGTAATTGTTACTCTGTTAAGATTATCTCAAATTTAGGTATATTTTTAAAATGCAAAAAAAAAAAAAAAAAAAAAAGAGAAAAAAAAAAAAAAACAACCAAGAATACCGAACATTTTGTCTACTTCAGTAGATCTTTTGTTACAATGCTGCAAACTATGGAGACATTTACAGTATTTATGTCAGAGATTTGGGGCTGTTGGCCAGCTAAGCTTAGGAGAATATCATGAGTGGAGCAAAAGGAAGAAAGGTGTTATTCACTGAACAAATGAGTAAACGTGACCTTTTTATGCTTATAACGCAACAGCCAAATAAAGGAAGAGAACAGGCAATGTAAGTTAAGTGCATTTCTACAAAGAACAGCAATAAACTATTTTAACTTTTAAAGTGAATGGATACTGTTACGGAGTCATGTTTGCTTGGCTGGAGTGCATTAGGGTGTATCAAACCAAGCTGTTGCAGCTGGCCTCTGTCTGCGATGTGCCAGGGTGGGACCTCAGCCCAGCACTGCGTTGTGTGGTCACTACCTGAGCACAGCACGCACTGTTGGTTGCTCTGTCTTTCCCTGTGGCTCTCGGCAGCTGGGGCTTTCTGAGCTCTGGGAGCATCGTGCTGGGGCTGTGCTTGGGCACAGGTGCTTGAGCACAGGCAGTGTGTGTGGAGCAGGGCAGATGGGTGCTGAGCCTGTGCAGCAGTGCTTACACCTCGTGTAGCCTCAGTGCAAAGCCAGGCAGCTGCCATCCCATCCCAGCCCAGAGCTCTCAGGCAGCAGGCAGTGTTCTGCCCCAGCCCTGCCTCAGTCTATGGGCTGCAGAGGTGCCTGCATCCCCTGAACCTCCTGTGCATTGCTCACATGGCCACATGTGACTTGACCTCACTGACTTGCTTTAGAAATTTGGTTTTCAGATTTTGACAATTAGGAATTTCCAATATTTGTTTTTAAAAGTAAATAAAATGATTCTGTTTGAACACGACAGCAATCTATTTAATCTCTGCAAAGGCGAGGGCAGGACTGGTGCCAAGAAGTGTTGCGTCTTTGGCACCAGGTTGTGTTACTGCTCAGAGGTGATGATGCCTAAAGCTGTGATGGGGGAAGAGGGTGCTGTAGGACAGAAGTAGAGGCTGGACAGTTCTGTGTCTGATCAACTGCCCTGTTGAAGTTAAAGGCACAGAGCGGGCATGTCTAACGTCATCAGTAGGCTTCAGAGTAAACAGCCCATCTAGATGAATGGAAACAGCTCATTCCTCCCTTCTTCATACTGCATGAGAATGCAGAGCCTGATGGTGCTCTGTTAGCTCTGCTTGGGGTTTTACTTACAACCATGCGGGTGACATTTATTTCCTTTTTAAGTAATTACTTTCTGTATACAGCTGTGGGGCTGCCAAACGAGTAAGAGCTGAGCACCGCGTCCAGCCCAGCGCCGGCGGGATTGGAGCCTGGCTGCTGGCTTTGGAGTCCTGTTGGGGTGGGGATATTCAGCAGTTCCTTCTCCCTGTTTGAGTATTTGGTGGGGAGCACATTTTGGGGCTGGGAGCTGCTGGAACTGTCTGGCCCTGCAGCATCCCTGTCCCCAAGCCCCAATATGGTCCTGCAGCAGGGCTTAGCACTGGCTGCTGCCTGCACCTGGGGCCTGCCTCTCCCTCAGTCAGTAAGACCAAGGCCTCTGAAGTGTCATCTGTCAGGAAAAGTGCTTAAATTGCCTTGCAATCGTTTAAAAGCTTAATTATTATTATTTCTGTGTGAGTGCACTGCTAGATGGAGCCTCATCTTTCCCCTATGCCATGTGGCTTCTGTTGTCCTATGGCCAGAGAGCTTGTGTTGGGCTGCTATTTCCATGCTGGTACAGGCCACCTCCCTACAGCTGTGCCTGTATGCTCAGTCATTTGCAAGACAAATGCAAATACTTTTCCCAGGAAAGCATCAGACTGGGGCTATCCAGGTGAGCGTTGAGCTGCAGGACATCCACCTGCTGCCACTTGTCAGCATTGCCTTAAATGCCAGCACATCCCTCAACAGCATGCCAGGACTGTCACCCTGACCCAAAGGACAGTGACATCCTGGGGTGCTCAGGCAGTGCAGTGCTGCCCACATGCAGCCCTGCTCCTGCAGCAAAGCCAGAATTTCTGATCTGCGAGGGAAAGGCCTGAAGTGGGGTTCGGTTGCATGGCAGCAGGGATGCTGGTGGCACTTGCCCTTTAAAATGTGAAGTTCACAGCAAAACGGTTTTACCCCCTCACACACAGGGAATGCTAACAGCATCCTTTTCTTTTTTTCCCCACTTCTGGCCGAAACTTGTTTTTCCCTCCTTTGTGCCTCTCTGAATCCTGCCAGCGCAGAGATTCCCTTGTTCAGAGAGAAAAAAAAGGAAAGAAAAAAAAAAAAAGAGAGAAAGAAAAAGTTAAGCCTGGGATTAAAAACCCCATCACTAAAATAGTCTGAATAACAAAGTCAACTGCCTGCATGGGGGACTGCCGCATGCCTGTCCCATATCGCCGGCCGGCACAGTCATGTGCTGCTCGAGATAGTTCCTGGCAAAGCTTCTGCTCAGCCTGATAGCCCCGCAGCTGCTGATACTGCTCTGCCTGCAGGAACAGCCACAGCGCTGTGGGATGATGTGGGGGAGCAGCGAATGTCCCTTTGGGAGCAGAGGAATGGGTTCTTCTTGGGACCGGAGCCACCTCGATGCCTCCGATACTTCCCATGGGATGGGGCACTCCAGGGCCTCACTGGGGGATCTGTCCTCACCCCGCAGCCTTATCCCTGTGCTGACAGTGCAGCACAAACTTTGGGGCACAGAGGTGTGCCACGGGAAGGGATGATAACACAGATAAGACCCTGCTGTGTGAGGGCAATGACAGGCTCAGATTTATCAGCTGTGTGCTCAAAGCCCGGCAGCACTGGGGCTGGGGGATGGCGTGGAGAGGGGGGAGAAGGAGATGCCTCACATGGAGAGGTCAGTGCTTCATGTGCTGCAGTGCTTTAGGGTGAAACTGCACAATAAAGGCAAGAGCCCGAGAGCCACAAACTCCTCAGCCACTGAACCTGGGCTGTGCCCCAGCAGGTGCTGGGCTGCAGAGGTTATACCCATCCTCTACAGATGTGCATGACTGCATTCGTTTACTTGTGTAGGCATTAAAACTCATACATAACATCTGAAGAATTATGCAGAGATTTGTTCAAACGTGCATCTATTGTTTACTTATTTGCTTAGATGTTAGAATCCATGTATGTAATTTGAAGACGTAATTTCACACCGTCGTGTTTAAATTCGGTGTTGCACAGCCCTGCGTGACAGCAGAGACACAGAGGTAATGCCCACATGTGGGCATCATTGCTGTTGTTCTGCATCTTTCTGTAAGAGCCACTCTACTCAGCTTCCATCAGCAATGCAAGAAAGAAGCTTAAGGAGAAATAATGCAGCACAAAAAGGCGAGAGGTGAGCTCCAGCCCCGTGCCTGGAGGTGGGTGGGCAGCCCAGCATTCGTTCCCATTGACATGATGGGCCCCAGAGTCCCAGCAGCAGATTTTGAGGAGCTTTTAGACATACAAAGCCAAAGAGCACAGCCTTTTATAAACCAGCACGGAGCATCTTGCCTCAAAAATAGCACTGAGCATCTTATTACATGTTCAGCACTCAAAAGACCTTTTAAAATCGGGCTAAGCTCGCCTGAGTGGTTCCCGTTTAATCTCTCCCTCTGGATAAACACTGGGGAGTGCACAGATACAGCCATCCATTTGTTTTCTTGAGTAACATCAGCTGCTCGTGTTTACATTTGCTTCTTGCATGCTAGCATGTTAAGTAAACCTGGAGCCCTGCGAAATGAAAGTGAAATGAAAGGAATCATGGTACCATTATTTTGCTGAGATCTGGCTTAAAAATTAGCAGACCTTAGGCATAAAGATGAGCCCTCAGGGGAAAAAAAAGCCTTCAAACCCCACATCCTACTTTATTTTCAACGCTGTACATTGCTATGACTCATTTTGGAAAGGTAAACCAGTTGTTTCCTGTTTCCGATTAAGTTTGTGTGTGTATATATTTATACATTAGTTATATATATTTATATGATCTATAGAAAAATCTCGTTAGAAACATACATGCATGAATACATATACGTACTTTCAGCTGCATGCATATTCATTATATGCAATACAATACAATATTCATGTATACATGGACAGATGTGCAGTACGGTTAGCCTGGACAAGAGAAGGCTCTGGGGGGACCTGAGAGCGGCCTTCCAGAACCTGAAGGGGCCCACAGGAAAGCTGGGAAGGGACTTTTTATAAGGGCATGTGGTGACAGGACAAGGGAAAATGACTTTAAATTGAAAGAGGGGAGAATTAGATTAGATATTCAGAAGAAATTCTTTACTGCGAGGGTGGTGAGACTCTGGAAGAGGTTGCCCAGTGAGGCTGTGGATGCTCCCACCCTGGACGCGTTCAAGGCCAGGCTGGATATGGCTGTGAGCAACCTGGCTTAGAGGGAGGTGTCCCTGCTTATAGCACAGGGTTGGAATGAGATGATTTTAAAGGTCCCCTCCAACCCAAACCGTTCTGTGACTCCGTGATAGTATACTTATGTATGCTATAAACCTACATCAGTGCATGGATGGGTGCAGGAGTGAGGGCTGCCTGCTGGGGGCTTTCCCCTCTGCATGCTCCCCCCGTGCTGAGCCCACTGAAGTGCCTGCAGGGCTCACAGCAGTCTTGCAGGAGCCCTGTGGTTTGTGGCAGCATTCCCACATGTGCACTTCGATCAGCCAACCGCGAGCACTTCTTCAGTCTCACTCAGACACAGCTATTTTGGGCACCTGCATGCTGGACGAGAGCTTCAGCCCTGCCAGCAGCTCTGCATGGGTGAATGGAAAAAATACATATATACACATATAGCCCTTCAGTTGGGGGACTGCTGGCAGGAGTCAGGCTGCCCCAGCTCTGGGCACTGCCATCCCATCCCACATGGGTGAAGGGGAGGTGCTGTAGCCCAACCCACCTCCATCCCCCTCCTCATTCCCATCCCCGCTGCCCCCCCAACCTCATCCTGCCCAGCCTGCCCAGCCTCCCAGCAGCACCAGGATGAAGTACAGAAAAAATAATAAATTGAATCCAAATGTTTATACCATTGGCACTGTCTGGGGCATGTGCCTAATAAAGATGAAGAGTATTTTCTTGTAACTGCCTGCTAAATTGCCAGAAATGGCTGCTGAGCAGACTGTGCAGAGGCAGGATGGAGGGGGGGGTTAACCTGGGACAGATGATGGACAGACAGACAGATGCTACGTGTTCTGGCTGCTGCACTGAGATGCCTGGGAAAAAAAAACAAAAACAAAAACAAACAACCAAACCAACAAAGCCCAGCCTGAGCCATTGCAACAGAATGGCTGCAGTGAGGTGACCGGGCATTTACTCATTTCTTCAGCATCATCAGGCTGTGAACGGGGCCCCGGGGGCGGCGGGGCTGCAGGCTGATAAGGAGCAGCTCCGTAATCTCCAACCCCAGCAGCTGGGCGGGCGGCGGTGATAACGCACATGCACAGGGTGTCCAGAGTGCTGTGGGGTTTGTGTAGGTGCAGGGGGGGTAGGATGCAGCGTGCCCACAGCACAGCACCCTGCTGCCACCCTCACTGGGATGCTGCCCGGTCAGGGCACAGCACACAGCTGTCATCAGGGTGGGTATGGGCAGCCCGGCTTCTGATGGGGGTAGAAAGCCAAAATCTCAGTGCTTGGCTAGCACTGCCAAAACAAATGGCAAAAACCAACTGTGGAGCTCACACGCTGATTAGAGGAGTTCCTCATTGGTGTGAGGGGCACGGGGACCTGCAGAGCCCCCTTGGAGATGTGCAGGATCTGTGGATGCCCACGGGGCACTGGGACTGTGCCCTAGCACCAGGAGCACTGAGCGCCGCCGCTCTGCACTGCCACTGCTCGGCTCCTGGGACAGCCCCTGTGTGCCAAACTGCACACACGATAAGCTCTGCTGCAAAGCACATTTTTGCCAGAGGGCAGAAAGATAATATCTTAAAATAGCTCTGCGTGACATTTGAGGGGTCTGTGCCACTGCCTTTTCCATGGGCTGCCTTCCCCTCCTGCCCTCCCCAGCTCTGGGCAGGACCATCCCGTGGGAAGGCTCTGCTCCTACAAGCTGAAGCAGCCACGTGCAACTGCGGAGGCAGCGCTTTCTGCAGCGGGCATCGCGCTCTCCTCGTGGCACGGTGCACTGCGTGGCACTGCAAGACAAAGCCCTGCCTCCACACCTCGGTGTGCCCGCAGTCCCTGTGCCAGAAGTTCCGCGCCTGCTCTGCCCGCGCTGCCTTGGCTCGGGCTGAACAGAATTTGGCCAAAGCCCCGGCGAGGGAACAAAGCGGAGAGCCCCAGCAAAGCGTGGGGGAGCTGGAGGAGGGCCCTGCTCCATGCACAGCCTGTCTCCAGCACCAAAAAACAACACTGCATGAAAGTTCAACCTTCCCCTCGCTGCCGTCGCCTCCTTTTCCCTCTCCCTCTGCTCCCAGCGCTGCTCAGGGAGAATGGGTCGTGTTTGCTGGGGTGCACTGGCAGCTGTGTGACACCGGGGAGAAGAGTGAGGGGACGATGCCAGCATCCTGCCTTGGGCAGGACAGCTCCAGTGCTCTGTGCTGCAGGCGCACAGCCTTAACCCCCGTGGTGCCAGCTGGGCATTGTGCAGCACCGCAGGCCTTGAGCTTGCAGCAGCACTGACAAGCTTTAAGAGAATGTATCCCCCCACAGTGGATTTTAGGCACACGCTCCAAATCTCTCCTGATTTGCTTATGCTTCTGTGCTGCTTCTAGCATGTCATCTTTAAAGGCAGAGTTTCAATTTCTATCTAACCTTTCTTAATGGAAGGTTAGAAATGCCTTCAAAGAAAATAAACATTGCAATGCCCACACAAATTTTCTAACTTTTTAAAAGGCCCATGAGAGCAGCTGCTTTGTGTAGTTCAGAATTTCTGCATTTAGGAAATGAAGCAGCTCACATAGACAGGAAAATGTGGCCCACACACTGCTGCACTGCAGACCCAGCTCCTCTCTCAGTGGCCAAACTGCAGCTGGCCCACAGCACCCAGTGTTTGGGTGATCCTGGGAGCCAGCTACTGGACTCTTATCCAGGGCACAGACACCTTGTGTCCTTCCAGCCCCTTCTGCTGTGCTAGTATCCCCAAAATCCAGCCCTGCCTGTGAGTGCGTCCCCGCAGCTCTGTGTGTCCCCCCCTATGGGTGCCATGCATGGCCTGAGAGCAGCCAGCAGCCATTCGAGCAGCAGCACAGGGCTGTATGGAAATGCAGCACTGTATCTCAGCAGCCATTAAATGCACACCTGCTCCCGCATCGTGCCGTGGTGGGATGGCCCTGTCCTCTAAGACACGCATGGGTGGCTCCTTGAGTTGTGTTTCAAGCACCCAAACCAGCCATCTAACCCAGCCACCCACCAAACCAGCCATAAAACCAGCCATCCCAAGTGGCTCCCTGGAATGGCTGCCCCGTGTCCTCCCTGCAGGTGGCCCAGGGATGGCCCTGTCCCCCAGTGGCCTGCCTGCCCCTAGCATGCTGGTGGTGATAAGGCTGGAGGGTGCTTCGTTATTACTGTTATCAGAACAAAATAAAGCCTGTCTGCCTCCAATACATTCTTTTGTCTTAATTGTTCTATTTCCCTGTGCCTGTGCTCTCCTGGCCACACCACTCCTGCCAGGAAAGCAGAGCGCTGATCATCCTCAGATGGTTCACACAGAGGTTTCTGTTTTGTTTTGTTTTAACAAGGATCCAAGATGATTGGGGGAGGGAAAGAACTTTTGTCCTCTGCTTAAAATAATTCAAGAGCTTTCCACTGCCTATGCCAGGCCAGGCCGAAGCAGATATTTGCATAACAAACGAGCTTCTCCTCGCTCTTCAGCCCCAAGCGACTCCTGAGGCTCCTGCTCCATTCTCCAGCTCCAGCTCCAGCTCCAGCTCCAGCTCCAGCTCCAGCTCCAGCTCCTCCCATCGCTGTCCCACAGCCCCATGCAGGAGCTCAGCCAAGGGCTTTCATGGAGCAAACTGGAGAAGGTGGGTGGAAACAAATGCTACCAGAGCCCCAGCGCCATCCAAACATTGCATTCTAAGGAAGAAAGGTGGGAGAGAAGGCAGTTATTCATTTTGAAATGAGTTTCCATCGAGATTAGATCCTTTTTTTAATTACATGTCATTATGGCTACATAATTAAAAACAACAATCCGTAATCGGGCAGATGCTATCATCCCTCCACAGACCTCTAGACCTCTTGAGCATCTTTGCAGCCCACAGGTAGCATTTGCTACAGGGCAGAATGAGGATCCTTCTGGCCATTTTCAACAGCGTTCTGAGGCACAACGTCCTTGCCCTGGGACGGCGCTGCCCTGGGCCTCAGGTTTGATCTGATTCCTCCCACCTGCAGCTCGCTGCCTTGTCTGCTTCCTCCTCCTGCCCAGTGCCAGCTGCTCACAAGCCCCGCCGCATCAGTGCTGCAATGGCACAGGTATGGGCAAGACGTTAAACCGGTCACCAGTTTACAAAGACAAGAAAAAAAAAAAAAAGGCAACAAAAGACCAACAAATAGTTGACTCCGTTCCCAGGCAAATAAAAAAGAACAGTTTGGGATCGTCACCAGTGTCCCTTTGTTTACGGAATGCAGCAACAGAATAGACAAGGAAAGAAAAACCCCTGCTGATAGCGACAGCTCAGCGTGGGTGAAGCAGGCAGGGACATGCCCAAGGAAAGGAGGGTCAGGCGGTGCCTATCTGCTGCTGACGGGAAATTAATGTGCCCGAAAGCACTTAAAAGAAAATAAAAAGGACCAGACCTGATTGCAGCAGTTAGAAGAGATGTATTCTTGGCACGGAAACAAAAAGCAAATTCATAGCAGGTTTGGAGCCGATCTTACTGGCTTACATGGGATTTTATACTTTGGTAATTCCATTGTTGGCTGGTGATACGTGATTTATGGCTGAATAAGGTCCTGATCCTGCAAACATTTACTTATGTATTTTAGTTTTACCTTTGCCCCAGACGCCCTATTAATTTCACTGCAGTGAGGATAGTGCTTGTTTGCAAAGCTGGCGCCTTTGCAAGAAAATCTATGCCATAACGCCTGCGATGAGGAGGAAATTTTGCAGTGAGAAGTGAACTCTCCCAGACGGGTGACTGCTTGTGGCCTCAGGCAGAGACAGCGTGGCACACGCAGCCCCTCCAGCCCAGGAGCTTCAGCAGGCAGCAGGGAGAGCCCTCAGCTGAAGCCTGCAGCTGCTCTCAGCTCTGGCAGCCACTGCAACAAGTGGAGAATCAGGCAACAGTGTGGCATTAAGTTCAGTGTTACACCGTCGTTTCCCCTGGGCAGACCATAAAGACGAGCTTCTAAACAGAGCCAAAACAGTATTTATTTGTTGTTTCCGTTCAAGAAAGTGACGTTTACCATTAAAACCACTGGGTTTAGTCTATACCCTCCTTGTCAGAAGAGGGGACATGCTAAAATTCATCCACCAAACACCATCCTTTAACAACACAACGACCGAATCTGCTTCAGGTTGATCACAAGAATAAAAACCTGACAGAGGGGAGGAAGAAAAGCTGTGAAGTTGTGGACACATGGACAGAATGCAGCAGCTTCGGCTGCCAGCCCAGCAAGATGCTCCCAGCAGAGCCGTTGCTCACATGCCCATCACATGGGAACACTCTGCTGCTAAAACCAGCCGAAAGAGAAAAAAAAAAGGGGTGGTGGTGGTGGTGGTGGCTGTGTATCTTGGAGCAGCTGCTTTCCTCACTACTGCCGCCAAGCCTTCCTGAGAGCAGAGCTACTCCTCAGTGCAGGGCAGAATTCATTTGCTCACAATGGAGCCGTGGGGGCTCTGCGGGTCTGTGCACGGCCAGGGGCTGCTGGGGGCCTGGAGCCGGGCCCAGGGGCACTGGAGGCTGTGGGAGGGCTCAGAGCAAAAGCCCTCCGGTGCAGATCTGTGCTGCTCCCTGTAGGAGATGCTTGGCCAAGATGCAGCAGTTCCCAGCCCACACTCAGTGCTAGCTGCCCAGCCAAGCTTGGAAGCTGCTCGTGTGATGTAGGGCACTTCGGCTCCGTGTGAACACTTCCTCCCTGGCACATCTGTCGAAGAACAGAAGCAGCAAGACATGTGCTGCTATACTTTGATTTCAACATCTCTACCAGCTAATGGCTTGCTGCCTGCGGGCTGGGGCTCCTGCTCCAGAGCCGGAGCACAGCGTGATGTGGGTCTGGACTTGTGCAGCTCAGGTGGATGCAGCCTGCAGCAAATCTGGGCAGTGCTGGGGCAGAGGGCACAGCCACAGCTCTGCTGCAGCACCCTGGCCCTGTGTGCCTTGCACGGCTGCAGGCTGCTCCCACGAGCTCTGGTACACTTCCAGAGCAACTCCTGTGAATTTGGCTCAGCTTCCAATGCAGCAGCCTGGAGAAGTGAATATTGCCTCTCTACACCAATTTAATTATATATAAAATTAGAAGGAGGAAGTCTTAGTTAAAATTTCATACTTCTGGAAGACAGCCGGTTCGTTAGCATCACTTTAATGAGGCACTAACCTCACTGTAATGCTTTTATTAATGCTCGTCACTTATTGAGTGCCAACAGCTTGGCTCCTCTCCGACAGGCCGGCTGGCCCGCAGAGTGAATGGTTTAGGGGTTCTTTGATGCAAAATGCGAGCGCGTTTCCACCACAGCCACAGGACAAACGACAGTTGGTGAGATGAGACACAGCAAACCCCACCAGATGGTGCCCAGAGTGGGCGATGCAGCAAGAGAGTGAGATTGGGATAGACGGAACGGGCCCGGGAGGAACAAACCAAGGAAGCAGAGGCGATGCTGTCCCACTGACACCACTCCTGTTGGCTGCAGTGGGGTCAGGATGGGGCCAGGCCAGTGAGCAATGACAGCCCATCAAAAACACATCTCACAATGGGCTTTCTTTGGCCCAAGCAGCCTCCAAGCACCCAGGCTCCTGCACTCTGCCCTGCCCAAGAGCAGAGTCTGCTGCTCGCAGGTACAGCCCAGGTGCTCCAGGCACACCTTTCAGACATGGACACAGACAGAAGGACGAGATTACCCCAACAGCTGCCAGGACAACAGCCCCACACCTCCTGGGAGGTGGCATATGCCATATGTTTCTCCTCCTGTTCCTTCAAACGCTCTGAATAGAGGGATTAGAAATTATCCATTGCAGCCTAAAACAGCAGAGCCAAGTGTGGGCTGATATTCCAGCACAGAGCTTACCATGGCAGCAGAAAGCTGGTGGGTGCTGCATGCACACCAAAAAGTGGGGCATGGGTTGGCTCTGGTTTCCTACCACCTTCTAGGAATGGCTGCAGAGGTAACAGGAGAGCCCTCAGCAAAGGATTCAGCTCCATGGCTGTCATACTCTCGATTTTTCCTGCAGCTGAAATAGAGCACTCCAAGTCAGCAACAAAAAGAGGGAAAAAAGATTATGCAGAGCAAGGGGGAGGAAGGCAGTCGGCTGCCTGGCACAGAGCGGTGGGACGGGGCCAGCTGGATGAGAAATAGGGCAGAGGCTGGAAAAGCAGGGAGAAACCCCCCCGTCCCCATTGCATTCTACCAAATCCGCAGAGCAACAGCACCAAACCACACAGTCATTGAACTGGAAAATTCTCAACATTGTTTTCTCCACCTAATCTGACAAGATTCAAAGCCAAACATGGACATTTCATGGGGTGCTGATGTGCTTTTTTCCCTGTGAAAGTTTCTCTGGGTTTCTGTGGGAACCAACCTGGTTCTTGTGAAGAAAATAATCATAGAAGAGAAAAGAAAGAGGATATTTTCAAGGAAAACTAGTGAAATGCAGCAGCTCTTAAAGTGACTGCTACAGGTAACTGGGGAAGTGGTAAAACAAAGTTGTTTTTCCAAGTATATTTTTTGCCAAAATATGGGAGTTTTTTGGTGAAATTAAGAGCTTGCAGGGCTGCTTGGGCCCAGGTGTAGCTGTTGGGCAGGCTGGGCTGCCAGCATGCAAACACAGCTCGCTCACTACAGTGGCTTTAGCAGCAAAAAACTCCAAACTTGATATTTTAAATGGGATTGTATTCAGGGCATAGAGAGGAAGTACATTGTCCTGGTCAGAAACAAGAAGACTCATTAAGAGCTCAGTGCAGCTGTAAACAAGATGCACGTTGTTAGGGTTCATCACCCTGGCAGGGATAACTGTGTCCAAGCTTAATCAAGGTAGAAGGGGGAGTTTGGGAAGCATCACATCCATGGCACACGTCCCTGCTTTGTCACATCGCACCAAGCACTCGATAAAAGGTCCCTTTGAAGAGGAGCCAAGTTCCTCCTTGCTCTACTACAGCCCTGTTGTGTTGGGTTCGCTGAGCCGGGTTTCCAGTCGTGCAAAGGATTTGTGAGAGGCAGAGAAAGAGTGAGAGCGTACAGAGCGCGTTGTGGCTCAGAGGGAACAAGAGGTAGAGCTGTAATTAACTGTTGGGCTTTACTTCTGGGTTTTTTGTTCTGGCAGTGGGACAAGCAGCGCTGTGTTGGTAGAATGCCGGCCCTGCGTTATGAGCAGGCTTGCCTTCTGCATGGCAGTTGGTTTCATATCGTTAGATATTCAAAATCCACACGCCACGTCCCCAAAATCACAAGATTGGTAAGCAAATCCCGAGATTAAAAAGGCTAATAGTAACAAAGGGCTGCCTTTTGTCTCTTAGTGGAGCTGTTAGCCTGCCAACCTGATTTCAATAGGGACTTGGGTAAAGGAAAATAAAAAAGGGAAGGTGAGACTTTCCCATGGTTACACCAGGAGTTTAGTTTCCCAGAAAAGCGAATCTGTAATTCATCTGTAATGTAATGAGATCATTTCCATTCGATGAAGCCTAAGTTTATATTCAGAAAGCTAAAGAGAAAAAAAAAATCCGGCATCTAAAAGCATATGAGCCAGCCAATGGGTATTGGGATGTGTGTGTGCCCAATCAGAGCGCACAAAGAACGCCCTCTTTCCTTCAATTAGGGGACTGTGGCCCTGGTTTCCTTAGCAGCATTCACTCTGCAGTGGGTAGCAGAGGTGTGAAATGGAGATGCTCATGACACAGAATGCCTGCAGCCTCCTGGGGCAACT